CATATAATTATTATGCGGAAGTGTATTCCATAAATCGTGAACCGCGATGAATAATGAAAAAGAAAATATTTTAATTGATGCGCGAGTTTATCATCGTTTCGTAATTCAGGAAGGGAGGAAGAGAATCTATTCTCAGGTCAGTGGGTTCTCCAACGATTTTTCTCCAACGCGATCGAATATATATATATATACATTCGCTGCGTATTTATACGAGATTGGATTATTTAAAATTTCGTGGCGGCCGATTAATTGGAGCGTGACGGGCGTCCATTTAATCGGGATAGGTCCTTAAATATTTAAAAAGCGAAGCGAAAGAACGGGTCGTTTACGGGGTTGATCAAAGCCGAAGATCAATGGAGCGAAGATCCGCGATGGAGAGAGAGAGAGAGAAAGAGAGAGAGAGAGGGAGGGGGATATCTTGCGTGTCGATAAGCCGGAGAGAGAATCTACTCCAATTTCTACTCCGTCGGATCTTAAAGCTTGGCTGTCCGACCGTGAGTCTCTCTCTTTCCCACTTACGATAACGTTCGCCTATTACTATTATCGGGGAGCCATTCCCTTGAAATTTAACACGCTTCCCAGTTGTCTGACTTAATAGCGGTAGCTCCTATCCGCCGCGCCGCATGCTGTTTCTCTCAATAGGCAACTGGCAATTGACGCGAAGACTTCCATCACGCGAATCTAGCGTGAAACGTATGGTAATGCGAGCCATCGACCCAAACGATATTCTACACCGTTCACAACCGGGTTTAACGTCTCAGGGCTAATGGCGCGATTGTGAGGAGATGTTTGATTCTTTGAATCGCGCGGAAAATTCAATTATCTCGACCCATTCTTCCTTCTTCTATTCAATTAATTAAATCGAAAGGAAATTTTCGAGCAAGAATTGTGACGTTAAACCGAGCAACTGAATAATTGCGGAAAGTGAGTCGCGTTGTGCTCGGTCGGTATCTATTTAACGGGTAATCCCTCGTACCGATCGATGTAACTAATATCGAAAGAAATGGAGCACTCCTATCTCGATCATATTAAATTCCCCCGAACGAATCCCGAAATAAATCCCCTCGCCATATTTTTTAATCATTGCATTATATTTCGGCCCGCGTATTGAAAATTCAATCCGATTTTGTTGCCCCTTTTTCTTTTTTTTTTTTTAATTCTTTCGACTTCTTGCTAATGCAACCGTTTCCAACCGAATTCCCTCGAAACGTAATTTCGAAAACGGCGCCTCCTTCGCCCAACGAATCGTTTTTGATCGAATCTGGCTGTAAACTATGAGAGAGGAGGGAATAGATAAAGCGGGCATTTTCTTCTCGGATGCACGCAATGCGGTTTCCATTCGTCGCTCGTGCTAATTTTCCACCGTAACAACGCGTTACGATCTTCCCCTCCGCGCAATTTCGTGGACGCTGCAAGTAACGATCGTTGCGCCCCCGTAGCCCGTTCTGCTGCGTTAAAAAGAAAAAAAGAGGAGAGGGAGAGATGTCCACGCGTTTGGAATAGAATCGGATTTCTGAGAACGATCCACGGATATATACGAGGCGGCTTGAAATTAACTCGATTAAAATTGCGGCGCTACCCCCGACATTCCTCCGCAATTTCTCCACCTATGTGCACGCATACGTACCGCTCTTTTCTTTTTTTTTTTTTTTTTTTTTTTTTTTTTGATACCCCACCCCACTCCACCGAATAACTCAAGTATTATTCCACGTTTAAATCGGAAACACTGGAAATTAAAAAATACTCGTGCGGATTTTATACGTCTATCCTCCGATCGATTGGTTCCGTTTAGATCGAGTATGGGGTTGTTATACATGCGTGTATAAATATTCGTGGAACGGGATCGAATGGGTAGGAAAAAATTGGAATACAAAGTTAACCTTTTTCTTCCGTATCGAAATTAACGAATAAAATCGAATTGAGTTAGATTAAGCTACATTTTCAATTATCACAATTTTTAGAAGGATTTCTCGGAATTCGCTATTCCTATTGAATTCATTCATTTCACGCTTCGTGATATAATTAATATGCAATACATCTACGAATTAATCCTCTCTTAAAGAAGCTTTCTTAGCTTTATTGCCCGTTAAATTTATCATAAACAGATTAAATCTGTTGAACAACGAGGGCGTTTAAAATGGGGCGACACTCAAGGTGATACAAAGCGCGAGTAAATTGGCCGTCAGAGGTTGCAACAGAGAGAGAGAGTTGAATGGCCATCGTTGGTAACGGTGGATACGCGTGAAGCGAGGGCAGCCTCAGATATATGCGCAGCAATGTGGCACAGGGGTGCCTATTTTCCATCCAGCCCTGAAATTATCGGCCCGGCCTGAGCGAGGTCCATTGATTACCACTGGTAATTGCCATTACAACCCCCATCTACGTCTTTCCCTCCCTCTCTCTCTCTCTCTCTTCTCAATGCTCCACCCTCTTCCACCCTCTTCCCTCAACGTCTCGATGTTCTCTGCATCAAAGTCAACCATTTTGCCAAGAGAGAGCGCAGAAACTGTGAGCGCGTATCATCCTTTTAGAATATCAATTTCGACAATTCCTCGATTCTTCCTTCCCTCTTAAGCCAAGTTTGTTCGAAAATTATTTCAAGAGAGGCATACTCTTGTTTCGTGATATTGGTAATCGAATAATGTTTAGAGAGAGAAATATACTTTTTTTATATATATATATATATTTCGTTATTTTATTTTTTTTTTTTTTTTTTACCTCGAAATCTCCAGCGCCTAGTGTACCTAGGACTCGACACCCATCCGAAGGACGTGATCGATCAATTGATTGGGCGCGTTGCGACGCATGGAGGCAGAGCGGAATCCCGCTCTGCTTTTTCATCATCGATACCGGCAATTATGGATTGGAAAAACGACCGACACGCGGGCAAAGCATAGGGATAAAAATTTGATCGCGGTCATAGAAACGAGTTTTCAATCGAGTTGCCTTCTGCTGATTTACAATCCGTCTATCGATCCCTCTCACCATCCCCCTCCCGAAGAACGCATCCCTATGATTTCGAATTGAATTTAAATTATTCTCTCCTGATTTCAAAAGAGAAAAAAAGAAAAATCGAGAAACGATCTCGAAAGGGGAGGGGGATGAAATCCGTTTAAAAAGAAATTACAAATTTCTTCCACTCGTATTGGATCGTATAAATAGGCGAGATTATTAAATTCGCGTTTGTTAAGAAATCGATAGATAGATCTTGTAGTATAGTTTTAATCCCCAATTTTTTTCCCCCCCCCCCCCCTCCTTTTTTTTTTCCTCGATCGGATTCGCTCGGAAGGAGCTTATAGGCGAATATATCTCGACGATTGCAAGAATAACCGTAACGTTATTTCGGATTTGGCGCAGTTTACGACTCGATGCGTCGAACAGAATCGAATAACCGTTCGCCGTATCCGCTTAAAGCAATTTTTTGAGTGACCAGCGATCTTGGCATCGATCCGCGGAAAGCGGTATTCTCCAAAAATTCGTTTTGCCAGGTATGTTTTTTTTCTTCCCTATTTCCTTTTCTTTCTTCTCTCTCTCTCGCTCTCTCTCTCTCTTTTATTTTTCCACCAAAATCGGGAACGAAGTTTTAAACAAGAAAAAAAAGAATCACGATTCCAGCCTGTACATTTTTTTGGCTTCGAATAACATTCGATATACGCGGTGTATTCCGATGTTGGTCGGAGAAAAAAAATCACAGTGGGAAAAAAAGTAAAAAAGAGAAATAAAAACGCGCGATCTAGGAAGAATCGTGATACAAAGTAATTTACCAGGTATTTTTGAAATATTCGAGGAAAAAAAATCTAAGATCTCCCTGTTTTCTCCTTTCCTCCCTCTCCCGTTAATTATGAATTCCACGTAACAAAGTTTGCGGCTTTTCAACTTCAAAAAGTACGGAAAACTTTTAATATCGCGATGTAATATCGGAACGAATAAAAATATTTGAACCAAAGATATATATATTCATTTGGACGTACGTTCGAATATAGAAAACTTACATCGACATAAACGGGGGATGATAAGAAAACGTAGGCGCGTAACCTCGCTGATAAAAATCCATATTTTATTAAAAAAATTCGTCTATAATATCAAACTCGAAGTATATCTTGGCATATTAAAATCTTGATTTTGTTTTTATTTTTCCATTTTTTTTATTAATCAAAATATATTATAATCGAGAAATAAAGATTTAATATACAATATAATTAATAAAAGATCATTTTTATCGGTTCTATATTTTCTTTTTTTCTTTTTTTCAGTAGTTTTTTTATAATACTTGGTCAAACGTAATTACGTGATGACGTAATATGTATAACATGTTAATGTGAAACATAAGATTCTCTTCAAATTTTTTATACATTCATTATTTATGATGTAATAATATTATGATATAATAATAATAATAATATTTATTATAAATAAGTACATTATTTCAAAAATATTTGTAATGATTTTTATCTTTCAGATTGATATATCTGTGATTGAAAAATCTGCAATAATTTTATTTTTCAGATTAATATATCCTTGTGTAATAGAATAAACCATTATATTAAAAAATAAATTTGAAAAATGTATTATATAATGATAAAAAGAATTTTTATTGTTGTTTGAAAAATTGTATTTCTTCAAATTATTTTTTTTATTAAAAATTATCTAATTATTAATTATTAAATAAGTAGAAAAATTCTTTTAAATATTATTAATGATTTATTTAAATATTATTTTCGAATAGCGTTTGCGGACCAAGTTGGGAAAAATGACGGAAAAAAAGAAAGGGAGGGGCGAGGGGGGGAGGAGAGAAATATCTAGGTTGGTTTATCCGACTCCGTTTTTTCGGAGAATATTCCAAAAAATATCGCCCCCGTTTAATCCGGGAACGATCCATGTGCGCACCTAGATGCACACATGGAAATCACTTTTTAACGTTTCTACGACCATCGATAATCGTCCCGGAGGCCTTTGAAAATTTGAGAATTTTCTTTTTCTCCCTCTCTTCTCTGTTCCAGTGCCGCCTGAACAACCCGCCATTCTGGACCAGTGGGGGAGGATAGTGAACGGGACGGCGGGGCCCTACGAGGAGGGTGACACTCCCTCTTTGACGTGTCGCGTCACCGGCGGTAAGTATTTCTTCTTCTAAAATTTAGGGCGAATCCTAATTTACGAATTGTCGAAAATTTTCGAAAATCATCGTGCAAAGCGAATAAATGAGAGAAACACTCCCCGTCCCCGATTTCCCCGATTAACTGTGACGCAAGGTAGGATGCGTTGCGTCGAACGGTGATTTAGATCGTCCAAGTTGGAAAGGGAATGAAGAATCGAGCCGGTTGTATTAGATCAGCCAACTTTTTATCGGAGAGCTAAGTGAAAAGTTGCGCGTTCGGGCCTTCCTCTTGGAGGTGTGGTAAAGCGAGGAGGAGGAGGAGGAGGAGGATCAAGCGTTCCTCGAGTGGAATAGGAGGGAAGCGGCAAACTACCAAGGTTCCGGTGTTTACTTTGCCAACTGGATCTAAATTTCTGTTTATAACTGCGCCAACTTCCCTCGACTGCCTTAAAAGATTATTTCTTCCCTCCCTCCCTCTCTCTCGAAGACCTCCTAAAAGATTAAACACGGTTAAAAATGTGGCGTCGCCGGATTTTTTCCTTCCTTCCTTCCTTCCTTCCTTCCTATGGGATGTCGTCGCAAGGAATTACAACGATAATAAAAATTAAAATTAAAATAGACGGTTCGAAATATTCTCCGTGTATGTATATTTATATCATCGCGAATCGAACGAATTTATAGAAGACAGGAACAGACACACAAGGAGGATTCAATGCTCATCGTTCGATCCATACGCTCGATGAATACATCGAAATTCGTAGCCAGGAAATATGGCCGGCGTATGCATATTCGATGGGAATCGATCATACGCACTGCGGCGTATAAATTGAATATCGAGAAGATCGGCTTATCCTTAACAATACGTGGCTCCCTCTTCAAACCCTGCAAACGGTCCCCGAGAATTTTCATTTAATTGTAAATCGTCTTTAAACGGAAGAAGGGGAGGGGATCGTCTCCCCAAGATTTCGAGTGTCTTTTTATTTCCCTCTCTCTCTCTCTCTCGTCTCCTTTTATTTTCCAACGATTCGAAACAGTTTGGAAATTTATGTATCCGAGGTGGGTGTATCGATAACCGATATCGTTTCCGGCCGGCACAAAGCGAAATTTCGCCATTTTGATGTTTATTCGATTCCACCGACAAAGTTTCGCCCCTTTCCTCCCTTCTTAAAGCGGGCGGCACCCCGCCACAACTTTTCCAAGATTTGCAATTCAATCGAAATGGCCGCCCCAATGCGAAATTACGCCTATACACTTTGCCGATTAAATGTTAATGCGGGGGGGGGGAGGGGCTCTTTTTCACCAGATTCGAGGAAAATCGACCATGTACGTTATTTACGCGAGAAAACCTATCTCTGGGCCGCGAACGATACCGAAGACTAGATCCGATTATTCAAACGAGACGTTCTATATATATATATATATATGTGTGTGTGTGTGTGTGTGAGCGACGGTTCTTGCGGCCGTAAAAAAAAGGAAAAAAAAATTCGAGCGCATATTTTATTGCCGCCCTATTCCTCCCTATCTGTATCTACTTTGTGTTTGTACATTTCGAAATTCGATATCGACTCGCCCCGGAATCGGACAAACTTTGTTCTTCGTGTGGAGGGGGGGGAAAACGTTATCTCGCGGATGAATAATTTAACTTCAACTTTATTTTTCCAACTTTATGCTTCCTTCTTTGCCTCCCCTCCCGCGAAAAATTATATAATAAATATAAATTATTTAATTTTATTTTAGTGTTAAAGCACATAAAATTTTGAATTTTATAGAATTAATTAAATTATTAAATTGGATATTAGTTTAAATTTAAAACCTTTAAATTGCATTTAAAATTTAACATTGTTTTATTATATCTAAATTTAAAAGTAATATGTCTGATGAAAGAGATATTTTGATAAAATACATAATAAATATACTTAATAATATTATTAATTTAATATTATATTATTAATTTTTATTAATTTGAAACATAATTTATTTATCTACATGTTAATTTTCTTATTATTTTTTATTACAAATTCAAATAATATTTTTATTCAGTGATTATTAATGAAATTTATAGAACAATTATTAGAATTAGATTAATTAATATTAAATCATCAAATAAAAGATTAATTTATTATATAATTTCAGTAAATTTAAGGAGTATTTCTATTTTTAATAATTATTATATTTTTTAGTTCAATTAATTTAATAAAAAATTATCGTATATATCGGGTTTATATCGTTTATATCGTGGTTGGACACCGGTTTAAAAACGGAAAAAGGGAAAAAAGAAGCTGGCGTTAATTACACGCGCGTTAATACGCGGCCTTTATCCTTCTCTTCCTCTCTCTCTCTCTCTCTTCCTCTTCTGGAACGTCGACGATCGCTCATCGATCGGATACGATTGGTGCATTCTCAACTCTATTATACGCGATTTACAACTCGAGCCCAACTCTCCAAACCCGTTGCGTTGTCTATAATTTATGGGAATAGAGAGGTGAGAAAATTTTACGACTCCGCTCGCGGGATTTATTGCCAATTACTCGGTAAAGAATCGAGGGTGTACGTATAAACCGCGCGGCCTAAAAGGCCGCTTCCCTTCCTCTTCCTCGTCTTACGCATAATACGAAATGGAACGTGGAGAGAGAAAGAAAGGCACGTCGAGTGGTTTCGAGTCGGATGATCGAGAAGGATTATAAGCCAGTCGCAGGTGGTGCAAACTATATAATTATCCGGCGCAAGAGAAGAGTTGGCTTCCTTTTCTTCCCTCCCTCTGTTTCTGAGCCATCGAGCACGATGCACTCCGCCTATTTCCCCCGGGGTGCGCCGGCAACGTCGCGGGATCTATCTCTACGCCGTATTGGCCGAGTTGGCGGGGAATATTTATTTTTCAATCCTCCCCCCGCGAAACTGTAGCGGCGGAACCATAAAGGATATTAAAAATTATTCAGGGGACGGGATGACGTTCACAGAATATCCCTCCCCGAGATTATATTCGATCGATAAACTTTTAAATTTTTAACAAAGAATTTTATAAATGATAATCCCTTCGTTCCTTATTTTTAACGAAACGTAAAGTTTTAGCTTAAAGATTATTAAATCTTCCCTCGAATATATCTCGACTCGGATATATTATTCGAATATATATACATATATTATAGGGTGAGTCGAGCTTATCGACACTTGCTCCTCCGATAATCCAAAATCGAGAGGTCTCGAATCAAGGAGGCGATGAAAGAGAGGGGGGCGCAAGATTGAATAAAGGGGAAGGAGAAACTCACTCTCCTTCCTCTCCAAGGTATTTGCCTTAAGTAGAATTCGAACCTGACGGTAAACTTGTTAGATGTGGCCCCTCTTAATCCTGCGAGATATCGTCCGGTACCCGCGGATTAAAATCCTCCGCTTTAGTGCCCCTCCCCTGGTGTCGTTTTAAACGGAGGAGGTTCTCGGGCAAGGCAGTTTGGGTATAGCCGGGCAGTTAAAGTCAACGCCAGGGGCGTACCGAAGCCGTCCCAAGACCTAACCCCGACCCCAGGGTTAAAGCCAGACCTTCTTCTCCCTTTCCTCGGCCACCCAGTCGCTCTAAGCACTCGTGCAAACGACCTCGCGGCTTACGAATTAACTCCCTCCATCNTATACTATATATAGAGTTGAAAAATCGATCGAAAATTTCTTCATCCTATTCTATTCTTCTTTTCTAATATTATTTACTATATATACTATATATACTATATACTCTATATATACTATATATAGAGTTGAAAAATCGATCGAAAATTTCTTCATCCTATTCTATTCTTCTTTTCTAATATTATTTACTCGTGGAAATGCTATGCCCGGAGATCGTAATATTAATGGAGTTAATCAATTTCCAAATCCACCAATTAAAAATGGTATCTTGTTACAATTGCATTATAAACTTGATCATTACTAATTACTAATTCTATTCGAATAATAAATCTTAAATGAACCTAATATTCCTGATCATAATGCTAAAATGATATATACTTTTACTCGCGTCTTTTTCTTCTAATTAAAATGGAAGAAGGGTTAGAGAGACGACGCGGGTTAAAACGCAATCCGGATCGACGAGCATCGTCGAATAACAACTACGCGGAGTTAATCTAAGCCGTAGGAGGGGTTGCAATTTTAAGTGTCGCCTGATTAAATTGCGATTCGAGCGTGCCACCGTGGTATCGTGAATAACAATGTGAAGCTCGGCCTCTTCTCCCTCCCTCTCTCTCTTCGTCGAGGTATCATCCCCCGGTTTTGGGGGATGATGCCTCGCGGTTTTTCTCTATCCTCCTCCTTCGTGATTTCTCGCCCCTTATGTAATATCACACGTTTTATCACCTCAACCTGGCCAGCCTTTCCAACAAAAATATGCATCCGGCCACGGGAACCGTTATTATTCCGCGAGAGATATGTAAATCCGTGATATAATACGCCGAGTCTATCCACTCGAATCGAGTACTCCTATATATATATATATGTATATGTATATGTGTATGTATATGTATATGTATGTAGCCCCCCTCCTGCCAAACCATTTATTTCCGATAAACGCTACTTTCGCGCGAGGTGGATATGGATATGGAGAGGGAATATTGGTACGAAGGGTGGATTCCGACCTCCTGTTAAAGAGATCGAGGAAACCAGAACCCTTATTTATCATCCGAGCCGAGAGCTATACGCGAGTTTAAATTCCGGCTCGATTCTCGCGGATCGATCGTGCGAACGAGAGAGAGAGAGAGAGAGAGAGGTGGTCTTTTCTACGTATGAATCTATTGGAGAAATAGGTGTGTTCTCTTTCTCTTTTTCTCCTTCTTCTCCTTCTTCTCCTTTTTCTCCTTTTTCTCCTTTTTCGAACACAGCTTGGACCCGTTCTTCCCATCCGTCGTTCTATAATTGATATTTATCGATCTAGCGGATGGATGGTGTATAAGGGGGAGGGGGCCGGATATTGAAGCTGCGCCAGTTTTTGTCTAAAGTACCAAAAACTCCTCGGGTATCGGCTAATTTAAAAGTTGCCGGGGAAAACTCATCTCGGTAGCTTTAGTAGCTTCGCCACCCCCCTCCCCCCTCTGTACACTGTGTTCTCCTCCCGTCTCCTTTCCTTCTCTCTGTTCAACGTTTCTCTCTTCACTTTCGAATCGCTATCTGGTCCGTAGGAGAGAGAAGGGTTTGTTTCGAAATCTGTAAATCTTTCCCCCTCTCCTCGTTTTTGAAGGTTAATTCGCTTGTTACTTGCAGGTAAGCCGGAACCTGTGGTGCGGTGGTTGGTGAACGGTGAAGTGAAGGACGAGGAGTACGAGAAGAACGCCGGGGACGTGATAGAGAACAGGTAATGATAATGCACACCTCCGTTTCGTTCTCTGTTTATTAACCGATCTGTGACGATAACGGCAGTCCTTTTCGACAGACTCACCCTGCAGTCCGTCACGCGGTCGCATCTAGGGGCGAATTACACTTGCCAGGCGAGGAACACGGACCTGATCGAGCCGAGAGAGGCCTCCATTTCCCTGGATCTCAACCGTGAGTGACGATTATTCGTGAGAGGGAGTGAAGGGGAGGGGATACGAATTCTTATCGCAACAAATCGGGGAAGAGCCTGTCTTGTCCCGATAGCATCTACGAGACGGGGCAAAACTGGGCTCCCTCCTTCGCCTTTAAGGGAAGATAAGGCGAGATAAGACGAGAAATATATTAAATCGAGCCCCGCCCTCTCTCCCTCTCTCTCTCTCTCTCTCCTGCGCAGACTGGCAAAGAAAGGCAAAGAAAGCTTTCTCAAAATTAGAATTCTTCGTCAACACTAACTTTTCGAGAGTAAATTGAAAAATTTATGTCAGTCTGTTGTCCGCGGTATGGTTATGCTATGGTTATGCGGGAAGAGGAAACTTGAAAACGGGGGAGAAATATTTATTCTCGTCGAGATCCGCCGTTTCGAAAGAGAAGGGAGAAAAAGGAAAGAGAAGGAAAAGCTAGGACGACGATCGTCGACCGATCGGTGCTTCCGAAAATTTTCCGAAAATTGAAGACCCGTTATCGGTGAACGGGAACACCCATCATAGGATGAAAAAGAAGATAACGAAACGAACGGTGAGGAAGGAGAGAACGAATGAAATGAAAGAGAGAGGGAGGAGAATAAAAAAAAAAAAAAAAAAAGGGAGATTGATCGATGCTCGCTCTTTGATTTTCGCGACCTGCACCAAGTGACCATGCACGTGTATTCATCCCATGGCTGGTGGAACAAAAAAGAGAGATTAAAAAACCCCTGAACGAGGCCGTAGCTGGAGGGGAGTGGACGAGATTGCGGATAATCGAAAAGGCCGGTGATTCCGGAAATCAAATATTTGCGCGAACATCCGATGTGTCGTTCGTTTAAAAATTTGTAATGCCACGCGTTAGAATCCTCCTCTCTGCTCCAACTTCGAACCCCATTCTCGATCATTACACGCGTCGAAACGAAACGAGAGAGAAACGGAGAAATTTTGAAAACTAATTCGCCACACCCTTCGATTAGAATTCGAGGTGACGAAACGATGCGACCTATCCTCGTAGCTTTCATATTTCACGCACGAACGGATCGTATCTGGCCCCCGGTATTGGGCCAATTGGATAGTCGGATTTATCGTCCGTCAAAGCGATCGTCGCCCGGAACAGTATCGTTCCGCGCGTTTACACACGCGTTGAAAAATCAATGTTTATACCCCCCCGTGTAACGATCGTTATCGAAAACTCCGGGGGAAGAAATTGGCGAATAATCTCCCCTTTTGCCCCCTCCTTTTTCCTGTCGACTCGACTCGACTCGATTCGAAAAGGAAAAATAAGAAGGAGAAAGAGGAAAGAAAGAAGAATTGAGGGGATCCAGAAACGATCCACTCGTATTTTAATCGAAAAGTGGAATGGTCCAAATTTTACAAAATCGTGCAATTTGCATTGCTCCCCCTTAATTATCGGCTCGCTTTAATTATTCGCGTGGTTGGAAAGAGAGGAAAGAGTTGGAAAGAGTTGTTTCGATCGGTGGATAATCGGCCAATCCGTTGATTTCCAGTGAAACCGTTGACGACGACCATAAGGAGGCCGGGGAGGAAGGAGGTGGGGAGCGAGTCTCTGCTCGCCGGGAAACGGTACGAGGTTGAGTGCGAGACGACGGGCTCGAGGCCACCTGCGGTGATAACCTGGTACAAGGGGCGAAGAAGGCAGCTGAAGCACACCAAGGTGGGAGAAACTAGAGACATCCCTTCCTATATCTCCCCTTTAGATTTTTTCGTCGACAAGGTTTCGACAGATTAGGATTAACATTCGATCGATCGAAATCCGGTAATTATAATCTCGTTACAGCTTTCTAATTACCAGATTAGCGTTCACCTTAACGAAATTTAGGGGAAGAACAAAAGCGCGTTTAATTAACGGCTAAGCTGCTTTATTACGCATAGCTAGCTTGTTAATTAATCTGGCCCGTTTCTCCCACTCTGTTTCGATATCTCGTTCGCCCCTTCCCTCCCTTATCAATACCTATAACGATCGAGTCTTCTTTTCGTTTGGCTCGAAAAAAGGGCAAGACGCGTTTATTACGCGATTTCCTCGCGGTCGCGTAATTGGAAAGCGATCGGCTAACGAGTTCGAATCGTGGCGGCGAGAATTCGGCTTCCCTCGAGGGAGATTCAGAATCTAAAGTCTGTATCCTTGGGAGACAGAGTTCCGATGGATGGGGGGGAGGGAAAGAAGAGGGGAAGAGGTTGAAAAGGTCGAAACGCTTACCGATAACTATACCCCTCGGCGGCGAATCTTTTCCTTCCGAGAGATTCTCGATACGGAAACAGAGTCAAAGCGATGGAACGGAGACATCCATGCAAGTGGTGGAAGGGTGGAGGCGAGAGGAAGAGGAGGGGAAAATCTGCGGTTGCGCCGCTTTCTCTCTCTCTCTCTCTCTCTCTCTCTCTCTCTCTCTCTCTCTCTCTCTCTCTTTCTCCTCTCTGTCTCTCCTCTCTACGCTCGAGCGGATAGGATTCGTGCAAGTTGGAGTTGTTCGAAACGACGAGGGTTGAAAGGTACGATCAGAGGGCAGCGCTCGAGAGGGGCGTTCGATTGAATTAACCAACCTACACCTGTCGACTCCAGATATTTTCATTGGCGGTATGCTAATTGCCCATTACGATTTAGGAGCGAGTCGAACCGTTGCTTTGAAAAGCAAATAGTTTCTGCCGTTCGTTCGTTCTTTGTCGCGTTGCGTGGAAATACCATTCCATCTTGCGAAAAGATTGTAATCCCGATTCTGTTCGGTTTTGTTAAGAGAGCGTAAAAAGATGAGAGCAATTTCTCGTTAAACCGCAAAGTTTAAGTTAGAAAAGAAAAAAGTTTAAATAGTTTATAATCGATTCGAGGAAATAAAAAAATCGTTATTCGGTTAAACCGATTCGAATATTTATTTTTATCTCCATCCGAATCATCGATCGAATGAAAAACGAAGAGAGAGAGGGGGGGGAAGAAAAAAAATATGACAAATGAATTAAATTATCCCTGTGAAATTGACATTACGTTATTATTAACGATATCAAACAGTCGGCTCGAGATCCAATTAATCGAGACTATCGAGAGTATCGAAATCGAGGTAAATCGAATAAAATAAACGTAGATATATCGGGGGATAATAGATTCGCCAGACTTTCCAGAGAATTATTATCAATTTTAAGGTTTTTCATTTTTCGATTCCCTCCGAATCGAAGAACAAACGAAGCAGTAATCAAATGCGGATTATATTTGTACGGTTTAAATTTCATTCAATTTTTACCGTATCCAGCCACGCTGCCGGTAATACATTTACGCGTATTCATACGATATTTAAATAACAACCAGCCCGCGAACACAGCATCAAAATACATAATTTATATTTTAAATATTACTCGTGTAATATCATATCCTGTTAAAATAGGAGTGAGCGAAAATCCAAATTTAAGGCGGTCATATATTCCCTGCAACGTGATAAAAATTCTAAATGCAAAGCGATACGACGAAAAAAAAATAAATAAATAAATAAACAAATAAAGAGTTTATAATTTTAAACGGGGGGAAAAATGAATTTTTCTTTTCTTTTTTCAAAGCTCCTTTTCCCCTTCCTCTTTCCTCTTTATCTCCCGTTAAAACTACCCGAAAATGTATCTCGGCCGAATTTCTCCCTATTTTAACTCTCTCGCCCGAATCCCCTTATTCGACGTTTCCAATAACGTCGCCACGAAACGAACCTGCCAAGATACACGTATATATATATATATATATATATAGATTGTTTGCTCGCGACAACCATTACGTAGTGCGTCCCCGGGGCAGGAAACACGCGTCGATCGTCAGAAGAATTGGTGGAAGATTTTAACGGAGGGAATTCTGCCCTCGAAGACGAGGGAAGCTTGGATCTCTCGAGAAGGGAGGCGGCGAGGATCTGGCTACGTGTGGTATTCGATAATGTACGCGAGAAAGCGTCCGTTCCTAGGGATTTTCTTTCCGTTGGCCAGCATCTTCGAAACGATCGACGCGAACAGCCCTGTAATCCGTTGACGCTTGCTGGACTCGAAGAAGTAATACGAATGGAAGAGGGGGAGACGAACGAGCACCGTTACTTTTCGCAACTTTTCTCGCCCGCAGTTAATCCGTCAGGATGGAATAACGGATATCACGAAACGGGATAGACAACGGAGGTCGATAATCACAGATGCAACCGGTTCGTGTCTCTTCGTTCACCGCCCTAATTAATTTCGCGTTGTTCGTTAACGAGCACCCGGCCGCAACGCTCAACGACGACGTATCCAGTAATATCCTCTCTCTCGCACCTGCTCCCCGAGTATCTCTCTCTCTCTCTCGCTCGCTCGCTCGCTCGCTCGCACGACCTCCTTGCGCATTTTCGACGCGGGAGGGGGCTCTGATTAACAGAGTAAACGACAGTCACCGATGGGAACTCGGCTGAATTCTAATTCGCGCGACGGTTTCCCAACTTTTATGGGGGCGAAATTAAAATTCTTCGGCGAGGCCCGCGTGGATTACGTGTGAAGATTCGCCGATGAGATCGAATATTCCGGGGAATAATACGCGGGGAATTTTAATGAGTCCCAGGCGACGTCGCAAAAATCCAAGTTAGTTAATTATATTATATCTCGAAGCCGATTTTGAAAGCCGATTTTGAAAGCCGATCTCGAGGTAAAGGAGGCCGTTAAAGAGGTCGGACGATGACGGCTCGTTTATCGGATCTGTTTAAAATTCTCGTCTAAGCGACGGATAATAAAATACAGCCTCGTAACCGCGAAAGGTGGGGGAGAAAAGGTTGGAGGGGAGATATTAACGTTTAAGCAGATCCTACAAGCGGCGGGACACGTAGACCGCCTCTATCGCATTACCATCCTGATTATCCCATAGTCGTTCAGCCTGTCTTTACCCGTTCGCCACGGCGTTCACGAGGGCTCGTTACCGGTGTAATCGCTACGTCATCTTTATTTCTTCCTTCCCCTCCCCCCGGAATGCCGGAGCTTTAAGGCCTTTATATATATATATATATATATATATATATATATATATATAATTCTAAATAATAATAAATAAATTCTAAATATAAATAATTCTAATATAATTAATAAATAAATTCTAATAATAAATAATTCTAAATAATTATAAATAAATTTCTAAATGAAATTCGACGCCTTTTCCCTTAAACCTCCTTTCTCTTCCTGCCCCAAGGAGGGAAAATCGTTAAACGAGAGAATGGAGGAGAATCGAGAGAGGGACTACTCGGGTACTTGACGCGCTTCGAAACAAAATTCTCGGCCAAAGTGGGGGGGGATATGGGGAGTCTTTTCTGCCCGCGGAAAGCGGTGGAAGATAGAGAGAAAAAACGCGAGAAGCTGGCTGTGAAATTTACGCTCGGCGGAGTCCGGCGGAGCGGAGCTCTTTAGAAAGGATTCCACGGATGGGCAGGACTTTGGCGGGAGTCCTTTCGAGTGCGGGGCATGAGCAGGGATGAATTTCCAGCAGATGTTGCATTTACGGTCTCGACCTTAATATAACCAAAATTAACCATACCGAGTTACCGAGTCCAAGCGTTTTCTTCTTCTTTTTTTTCTTCTCCTCTCGGCTCTCGCCGCCATTGTGGAATTGAGAATTGAGAATACGTCGCGGGATCGTTATTTTCCCGAAATTAAGCTCGCCTCGTGGAATTTTGTGTGAAGAAGGAGACAACGAATATCTCTCCTAATATATATATATATATATTCCTCTCCTATTCCTTCTTTCTTTTTTTCCCTTCTCTTGTAAATTGTTTAGAAAGAATAGTTTCTTTAGTAGATAAGCGATAAGATATCGATGTGAAACGCGGATGTATCGCACGCAGGAGGAGAGATGGGAGAATCGGACTGTGAGCATGGTAGAGTTCGAGCCAGGCGTGGAGGATCACGGGAAATTGATCACCTGCAGGGCGGAAAATCCAAACGTGACGGGGCTGTTCCTGGAGGAGACCTGGAAAATCGACGTCGTATGTGAGTACACGATAAATATATATTCTATCTTCTCTCTTTCTTACACCCCCCCTCCTCCGATCTCCTCTCCCGCCGTTTTTTCTTTTTTTTTTTTTTTTTTTTTTTTTTACGAGGGCACGTTAAATGCATATTCGATGATTCCAAGCATCGGCAAGTTATCCCCTCTCTTTCCCTCCAGTCACAGTCTTAACGTATGCATACGCGTCGCTCGAACGTCGAAAAAAAAAAAAAAAAGATAAACCTTCCACCCTCTGTCGAGGATTCGCTTCGCGCGGATCGTGAAATCGGCCGATTTACGACCGATTTTTTTCCCTCCTCCTTTTTTTTTTCCACGTTGAACGCGCCTGTCCCTTGTTTTTTACAGCCGCAATAAAACAGCCTACGCTAGGTTTCCAGAATTACAGCCGAAATTCCCATCGAAATCGTTCTCCATCTTCGATCGTAAAGCAAAAACGACGGAGAAGGAGTAGGAATAGGGAGGAGAGAGAGAGAGAGAGAGAGAGAGAGAGAGAAAAGAGAGAAAATATCCTCTCTCATCTTTCCAGACGCTCGTGTCCATTTTCTCGTGGAATCGGTTAACAAGTCGGAGACGTGTTCGACCAGAGAGAGAGAGAGAGAGAGAGAGAGAGATATTTTATCCGAATGCCGGGAGCGCGATTATTATTTCTCTTTCTTCTTCCTCCTTTCGTCCCGTTATCAGAAGGAATTTTTCAAACTCGTCTTCGTCACGAAAGCGTAGAAATCTCGATCTTGTTCGAAGATCTTTTCGAAAGGGGGAATACCTTTCGAGAATCAAGGGACTTTGCGCGATTAATTATTCGAAAAGTTTCCTTAAAACGAGAGACAAGCTCGATGAATCGCGCCAATCGTCCCTTCCTCCCTCGAAACTTGGCGAGTGTCTGTCTGTGAACGTTGTTAAAACGTTGTTAAAACGTTGGTGGTGGAAAGTAGTAGGATCGAAGGGAAGAAAGAAGGAGAGAGGGACGTCGCGTCGTGTATCCAATTACGTTGACCGTGGCGGCAGAATGGTCGAAATTACGCATTAGTTTTCCGCTTTCGTTCTCTCTTCGTTCTCGTTCCCTCTCTTAACGCGGAAGAACGGGGGAGAGAGGGGGAGGGCGGAATTTATCGCGATCCTGAGAGGAGAAAGAAGGAAGGGTTAAAAAGTTGTTGTGGTTGTCGTCCCAAAAGGGGGCTTAAGATCGAGCTAATTAATACTGTTCTCGAAAGAAGGGAGGAGGAGAAGAGAATTTATCGCGGACGAGGAATAAACGAGAGATGATTAAACTAACGAAGAAAACGAACATCACGTAAACGGTGGAATTTTTCAAGAAAGTTGCAACAAAATCTTCTTCTTTTGAAATTCTTTTTTCTTTCTTGTCGAGGTCAAAGCCAATCGTAAACGAGACAATTGCGTTTCTCCCTTCTTTTTAATCCACTCTCTACGAGATTTGAAATGATCCCTCGATGAGTTCCTCCTTAAACCGTGATGAAATTCTATAAAACACCTATATCCTTAGAGAAAAAAATGCGAGGAGAGCCCTTGTCCATCCGTCCGAATTTCGACTCTCGAGGTTTGAAAAAGGGCTGAAATTTGGTTCACAGATCCTCCGATTGTCTCGTTGAACCTTGGATCGACGCTAAGTCCGGAGGACATCAAGGAAGGCGACGACGTCTACTTCGAGTGTCACATCAGGGCTAATCCTGCCTGGTCCAAGTTGACGTGGATACACGACGTACGTATTACATCCCCTCTTTTCAAATCGAACCTTTTTTGTTTTCCTTTTTTCCTCTTCTCCTTCCACTCCTTCAACGCACCACTTACTTTCCAAGAATCTTACGCCATTATATACCCGCATTAAAAACGAGTCAGCATCTCTGTAAAGTGCGGAAAAATATACTCGAAGCACAGTGGGGGGGGGCAGCACAATATGGATTCTCGGTGGACAAAGAAGAGAGAGAGAGAGAGAAAAGGCAACGTGCGTTCTTTAAATTTACAAGGCAAGCGTTACAGGTAATTTACGCTGGGAGAGACTCGTGTATTTTACAAGGAAGAAACTTTGAATCAACTTTATTTGCATAATATATATGAGACGGTTCGACAGGGTCGATCCTGGGCCGTTAGAATGAGAAACGCAGCAGAAAGCCGATCATCTCGCGGATTTATGGGGAGAAGCGATAAAAGACCCCTCTCCATTCGCCACTCTTCGAGAGTCATTACACCGGCCAAATTTGTTGGGCCGAATTTATAAGCGTGTATGGAATTTTTTTTTTTCTTTTTCTTATTAAGAGCCTGTTGAGAGGTAACCTGGCTTTTGCTCTCGACAGTTGGATAATTTTTCTAACGCCTTCCAGGTCTTTAATTTACCAAAAGGTACACCACGATGGAGGAAAAAGCAAGTGGACAGATTCAGAGACGATAGCAATTTAGGCATCGTTCGACTACAACAAACCCTCTGTTCGATAAAAAGAGCAAAACAGAGGAGGAGAATTTTACGCGTGATCCGAAACCGGAGAAACTTTGCTAGGGATTCGGTTTCGATTTCGCTCGGGGGAGAATCTGTGTTTAATCTGTTTTGGAACTCGTGTTCGGGGAAAAGTGACGCGTCGAAGGGGAGGGAAACCCGAAAAAGTCGCAAAGACTTGCTTCCTTTTCCTCCTCCAGCCAGCCGCTTCCACGAGAGATTTCCTTCCGAAATTGCCTTTCTCGAAAATCCCGCCTCTCCTCAAATACGTAATTTCGCTGCACGGATTACAGCAACGACGTAACGTTCCTCGGATAATACGAAGAAAGGAGCAAGATCGAGACTTTATTTTTTTCTCTTTCTTCGATCGATCGAAAGGATGTTTGCCCAGGAATTAGAGGAGGCCACGTTCCATCCCAAGGTAGCAATCGATTCCGAATGGTCGGTCTTAAAAAAACGCTTCGAGGCATCGACAGGCGGCAGTAACCTCTCGAACGACGATCGTAAAGACGGAAGAGAAGAAGGAGGAGGAGGAAAAAGAATTGGAATATCTGGTGGGTAGGGTGGATAGCCTGCTATAATGGGGTACAGTGATTAGGCTGGCTATACCATTCCACCAACAATAGGGGCAATAGAGAGGTTCTGTAGCTAAGTATCGACGAGCCAATCGGCCTCCTCGTGGAAAGATTTTCCCCGAGTCTTCATCTTTCCTGGCAAAGTGGATCGACCGACTAGACAACCGGAAGAACCCTATTAATGCCCTCCTATAAATATAATAAAAAAGAGAGAGAGAGATCGAATACTTTTTTTTTGAATGGCTCTCCGTGATCTCGCCACCTCGAAAACTCCCCTCGAAATTTCTTCTTGGAGCGAATTCGAAGGTTGGGGGTGAGAAGACTCCTGGATCGTTACTTGATTTTCAATACGTTATTGCTTCTCGTTGCAACGATCAGTTCAATGGACGAATCGATATCCCGAAAGGGGCTTAATGCGGGGGGAGGACAGAAATCGGACACCTCCTCTCGCGCAACAAGTCTGCCCTTCTCTCCTCCCTCGAAACGAACGAACGAAAAGTCGAGAGGAAACTCTCGGACAATCGACGCAAATTAGAAAATTTCCGGCCCGATTCTTGAGCGAGAAGAAGAATCGAGAACGTAATCAAAGATAACGAGGCAAGTTTTCCGTGTCGGGGCTTAGCTCCTCTCGTTTCTGCAGGAAACTTGGGGAGGAAGAGGGCAAAGAAAGCCAAACTCCTTCCGCGTTCCAGGCCGCGATGCATCGTCCCTGCAAATGTGCCGTCAACCGCCCTTGGAAAAGTCGGATCTACCGATTCCATCGCGGAGGAGGGAGCTCGTTCATCGATCATCGGACGCGTATCGATTCCCCCCCCCCCTCTGGAAAAGGAACGCGAGTCGAACTCCAACCCCTCTCGATCGCCCGCCCGAACATGGGCTTGGAATACCAAGCAACTCGAAAAGAAAGGGTTAATGAAGCTTCTTGATAAATCGCTTTAAGGGATGTGAAGAATTTTCCATTTGCCTTTTCGAAATCGAACGAAAATTCGAAATCGAACGAAAATTCGAAGAGAACGAAAATTCGAAGAGAACGAAAATTCGAAGAGAACGAAAATTCGAAGAGAACAAGAGGGGGAGGGAAACGCGCGAAAGAAAATTTGGAAATCGTATCGTGCAATGAAATATATTTTTATCGAAGAGAGAGAGAGAGAAGGAAGGATAAATTTCATTTTATCGGCAAGCGCCACGTCTGCGACACATCCTGGCGCGAGAAAAAGGAGGAATTAGAAGGAGAGAGAGAGAGGGAGGGAGGAAGAAAAGACGAGTGTGCACCGAATCTATTCGGCGTGCCTCCACTCTTTAAAACCTTCGTCGTTCAATGCTCCCGGCTTCTTCTTCTTCTCGAGTATGGAAATACAACTATGCATACCGTTCGAAGAGAACCCTTCCCCCCTTCTGCCCCCTTTCCGCTCCCTACGATTCACGTTCGCGATAACGGCTTCCTTTAACGCGCGCGGAAAAAGTTTCAACGCGTAATCGCTTTCTTCTTCTTCTTCTTCTTCTTCTTCTTCTCTAGTAAAATCTACAATGCTTTTTGTCGCTCTAACCAACGGATTCGGATTTTAAGTTGGGAGAAAATGGAATATTATGTAAACACGATAACGATAACGATCGATGATCGATCTCCCTTTTCAAGGGAGATAATAAATTTCGTTTAGGCGAAATAAACAGGGAGAGAGAGAAGAAGGAGAGTAGGAAGGAAGGAAGGGAGGAAGCACGGGAGTTGTTGGCGATTTTTCAAGGAATCAGTGCGCCGTCTGACCGGAATGAACGCCCTCCTCCTCTCTTCCCCACTTGAGCCGCTTTTCCTCCATCGACCGAAGCACGACTGGAATCGCGCGACCAACTCGAATTCTCGCCAGACAGAATTCTCCGTGCTTTAAAGAGACTGTATATATATATATATGTATTGAAGCTGGTCGATCGAAATACGAGAAGAAATTCGATGAATCTTACTGCAGAGATTGGAGCGGCCAGACTCGACCCTTGCTCGAAAGAATTGCTCGTAATAGTATCTCGTTTGCTTAGAGAGCGAGTTAACCACGAGCACGGACAGGACGAAAAGAGGCGCGGCCATTTTGCATTCTCCGTATCGGCTAACCTCGAAAGGATGCGTGCACGGGATAGAAAGGAAAGGACGGTTAACACCTACTTTATGTAACGGCGAGGCGCGAGACAATGCCGTTCGCCCATTGTACACGGGATGCTCGTACCACGTGCTACGAGTAATTCCAACCCTTACACCGGATTCCGAATATTCTCAAAACGAAGCCCGGGCTTTTGGGCTCCGTTCCAACTCTGCCTCTTCCTGCGGCTAGGCCCGTTGCATAAAACTCTCGTCACCTTCAAACGGGGGTTTTACTCATCCCCTCGCCCCCTTCTTAATTCTCCTAACGACGTATCGACGACATTTCTTATATACTTGAAATTATATAAAGAAAGGTTGAACGATTTTGGACATTGTTTAGGCAAAAAGTTTAAACTCAACACTTGTCGACAGTGGAAAACGATAAATAAAAGTATACGGGTTTAGCTGAATGGGTATATTTGATTATACGTATCTATTTATAAAACATTTGAAATATCGAAGAGAAAGGAATAGCTATCTATTGTAATTAAAAAAAATGGAAGAGAAAATGGGAGATTAGCTTTAGTAATTGGATTAAATCCACATTCAAATGGTGATCTTTTTTCATAATCTATTTTTTTTTTTTTATTGAAATTAATTTGTTTAAGATTAATAAAATTGCTGAAATTAATATTACTATAATAAAATATGTTATGATATAAATAATTATATATATTAAATAACTATGAAATGGTAATGTTGCTGGCAACATTCAATAATGAAATCATATATATAAAATTTCAGTCAACTTTAAATTCTATTAAAGCACTCCAGGTCAAACTCCAGATCTTACTAAGAATTCCTAATCTTACTAAGAAAATCGTAATTAGTATAAATGAGATTATTGTTGTATATGATTTCAGATAGAAGATTACTGGTATAAATAAAATAATTTCTACATCAAAAATTAAGAATGTTATTGTAATTAAAAAAAATGGAAGAGAAAATGGGAGATTAGCTTTAGTAATTGGATTAAATCCACATTCAAATGGTGATCTTTTTTCGTAATCTATTTTTTTTTTTTATTGAAATTAATTTGTTTAAGATTAATAAAATTGCTGAAATTAATATTACTATAATAAAATATGTTATGATATAAATAATTATATATATTAAATAACTATGAAATGGTAATGTTGCTGGCAACATTCAATAATGAAATCATATATATAAAATTTCAGTCAACTTTAAATTCTATTAAAACACTCCAGGTCAAACTCCAGATCTTACTAAGAATTCCTAATCTTACTAAGAAAATCGTAATTAGTATAAATGAGATTATTGTTGTATATGATTTCAGATAGAAGATTACTGGTATAAATAAAATAATTTCTACATCAAAAATTAAGAATGTTATTGTAATTAAAAAAAATGGAAGAGAAAATGGGAGATTAGCTTTAGTAATTGGATTAAATCCACATTCAAATGGTGATCTTTTTTCATAATCTATTTTTTTTTTTTTATTGAAATTAATTTGTTTAAGATTAATAAAATTGCCGAAATTAATATTACTATAATAAAATATATTATGATATAAATAATTATATATATTAAATAATAATTAAATT